AATTGTTCGTAAACACATTTCTTATAATCTTTTCTATATTGGTCTATAAGAAGAATGAATGTTATCCCGCAGAATTATTAAAGTTTATTCAAAGCACACCTAAGTGTCGTTTTGATATTAAATTTTGTCGTCAAAAACACCTCTCGGGGTACGTAACAATAATGAGATGGGGCAAACTATTTCAACGTTCCTGGCATTTGCAATGTCTTTAAGATGTACAAAGACTACATTTCTTAGGATAATATTCAAGATTATGCCTTACAGACAGCTCGTTACTTTGTGCAGTTATATCCGTGGTTCTGGGTGCCGACTTCGGTACATAAGATATTGATTCATGGTGCAGAAGTGATAAATTCATCGGTATTGCCGATAGAGCAGATGTCTGAAGACGCTCAAGAGTCTACTAATAAATACATTAAAAAGTTTCGAGAAGATTTTGCAAGAAAAGTTCCCGAGTGAAAACAGTGAAAAACATTATTTTACACCTATTATTAATATCCGATCCGTTTATTTCGAGTTTGTGCGAATTACCTCGAAAAAACCCAAAATCGTTGCTTCCAGAAGCAGTTTTATTGTTAGTTGCGCCATGTATACCAGCAAGTACAAGAAGCTCCAGCGATTTCAAAGTTGAATCATCTGATTGTGAATCAAATTATTCTTTGGATGACGATGCATGAACTTTTAATCAACTGATTGTATGTATTAAACAATATATGAATTTATTTTGTACTTTTTCTATAAAAGTGGTTCGTGTTAAATCCGTCATTTTGTTTTTATTTCAAATTTTGACTTCGGATTCATAATCAGCGATCCCGAAAACCCTCGAATACTGACTTTCAGCCGAATTAATAATGCTTTTGACTTTTGGCCAGCTTTTTGGGATTTGGTCCCACTGTGCGACCCCCCGTGTATGGCTTTGCGACTCACAGGTTGAAAAACACTGTTGTAGACCATGAATTGAAAAGTGCAAACACCCCATCATCGTCTTAATCCAGTAGAAAATGGAATAAAGTTTACTCCAAGTTTTCAAAAAAAAATTTTCTTCTGTTGGAAAACTTCGAGAGAAAGGAAGACAAACATACCTACGGATGACACGCGATCTTCGGACTTTACATGTCCATGTGTGTCGGAAGTAGCTTCTACACCTACATTTTGCGGGTGACAGACCGATTAAACTAAGTATCGAATCCCTATTTGTGTTCCGAAGAACCTGAAAAGGAACGCGAATATATTCGATTTTAAACCCCTTTTTGGCGTTTTTAGAAAGAAATGGAATTTTGTGATTGGTATGAATTGCTCTACAAAATATAAAATGTTTGCGTATCGTCGAATGTAATTTAAATGTTCAAATCGGATCCAATACAACACTAAATGTTCGTAAATGCCGCACGAAAAAACACCACTTATTATTTTACCCTTGCGGGAGGAATCCCGAACACCTGCCGTAGAGGTTAAAAAAAACCCTCTCCTCCCGAGGGAAACGAGTATGACAAAACGCCCGTACCTCCCTGCGGGACGTCGAAAAAGAGAAAAAGTAACATAGAATTTAAATGTAAAAGTTAAAATTGTCGGAAAAATTTATACATTGTTAAAAATTTGTTATTCGATTGTTATTTGATCATTTGTAGAAACCTTTGAACGTAGTCGTGTGATGTTACGCGAAACCAAACGCGTGCGAGGAAAACAACGGGGAGAATGAACTGACAGCTTACTAAGCTGCCAGCTAAAACGTCGCTACTCCACAGCGACATTTTAAAACGTCTTGTGACAGCCTCGTCATCCAACCATGATCAAGATCCTCATTACAGCCATAAATCCATTCCTGTAGCTCCGCACCAATGCGAGCACTAAAATCACCAATCAAAAAAATCTATTTTGTAACACCAAACCAATCTCACTATTTCTGTCCATAGAATAAGTCTTATATACATAAAACAAACGGAAATTACTAGATACCCTATCGTTAATTCCATAAGCATCCAATGCCTGTCTTTTTCTAAAATATTCACTTTCAAAGAATTGATTATCAAAAGCATCCAGCCACCAATAAAACGACCTCTATCAGTCTTTCGATAATCTGCTTCCTGAAAAACAAAAAAGTTATTCATGTTATGAAAATCGGAAATTACGCCACGTCTCCATTAAGAAAATTAAATCAAAAGTACACAGAAAATTCCAAAAAAAAAAAAAATACATTTATTTACAATACCTTTCGATAACCTGCTTCCTGTAAAACAAAAAAGTTATTCGTGTTATGAAAATCGGAAATTACGCCACGTCTCCATTAAGAAAATTAAATCAAAAGTACACAGAAAATTCCAAAAAAAAAAAAAAATACATTTATTTACAATACCTTTACAATTCCATAAAAGTACCGACGTACCTACTCCCAGTCAAGCAATCATTCCTTCCAATTTAGTATTCTGCTTTAAATTTAGTTGAATTAATAACGATATTCCATCCATAATATCCAGTTATCCCTAAAGTAACTCTAAAATCCTCGTCTCCTTCAATGGATCCGGGTGAAAGATCTTACTTAGATCTACTATCTGACTGACTTACTGGTGAATAGGTCTTCCTTTTAGATATGAAGAATAATACCAATTATCGTATCTGTAATGCTACAAGCATGGCGGCGGAAGAACCATTGTAGTTTGAAGAATTTTTGTAATTTCCGGAGTAACATTTTTTATGTCACAATTGTTCGTAAACACATTTCTTATAATCTTTTCTATATTGGTCTATAAGAAGAATGAATGTTATCCCGCAGAATTATTAAAGTTTATTCAAAGCACACCTAAGTGTCGTTTTGATATTAAATTTTGTCGTCAAAAACACCTCTCGGGGTACGTAACAATAATGAGATGGGGCAAACTATTTCAACGTTCCTGGCATTTGCAATGTCTTTAAGATGTACAAAGACTACATTTCTTAGGATAATACGAAACGATAAAAGAAAACACAGAAGTGAATGGAGAGATGACGCTGAATACAGTTAGAAGTGTTTTGGAGTCGAATGAATATGTTCGTGTTGTGGCAAAGGCTAACAAAATACCTCATGTAATACAGATGTGTGCAGAAAGGAAAGAATAATATGAATAACCAGGCAGCATTTTGGCGAAAATATTATGTATATTATTTCTCCCCATTGCTCCGTTTCAATATACTTTAAGTACAGGGTAAATTGAAACAAACGACAATGTGAAAAAAACACTTTTTTTCTGAAAACATCGTTTGTAAAACATTAAAACGTAATACATAATGGCATCCAACTAATTGCCATATCTGATGACATAACCATTAATATGCTAACATTAACGGTTATTCAATAAAAAGAAATTCAAACCACGTACTGTTCTAACATGTCCCGCCTCCCTAATAAATGATTTATACGAAATAATAAACATTAAAAAGCGCAGAAAAATACCAGAAAATATTGATTTTGAATACATAATTTTTAAACTTTAAACATTTTATATGAAAATGTAATTTCCAATTCAAAAATAACAATTTTCGTTTTAAAAAGTGAATTTCTAAACAAGTTATCAAATTTTGTGTACATATTCTAGGAAAAGACAAGAATTTGTATTTATTTATAGCTTTATTATGATAAATAAATAGGTGCTAACTGTTATAAAAGGGAGAAATTATAAGCTAGACTCACTACATCGCCGGGAAAAAGGACAAATATGAAAGCTTTAATAGTTATTCTTCACATTTTAGTCGGTTTATTCTTTATGCTGAACGTTACATTTGCACTTCTACCAGATGGTAAGTCTCATTTTCCTATATTTTATAAATATTTCTTTATAATTTTAACATAACAATTGCTTGTGTGACTTATAAATATGATTAAATACATAAATTAATAAAATATAACTGAAAAATCGAAAGATATGATGAGTGCTTTTTACTTTATTGTATCAATATCTTATACAGAGATATATCAAGGGAATTACGCTAATATTTACATTGAAAATTCACAAAATAAAAGATTTTTGCGTAACAATATTATGTATTAGACTATGTAATAGTTATTCTGTATAAACAGATGTAGATAGGACTTTAACAAAGAGAAATCAAATTAAATTAGGTAAAATTATTTTAAATGAGGTGTAATCAAATTACTTGAACATAACCATAGTGGTTATTTATTTATTTTTGACGATTGAAAAGTCAGAAGATATCGATTTACAGTACAGAAAATAATGTTTTACTTTATTCTGAACAATTACGTTCCCGGCTCTGTTATACTGTGTATACCAGAGGGAAAGTATGGAGATCGGNTACGAAACGATAAAAGAAAACACAGAAGTGAATGGAGAGATGACGCTGAATACAGTTAGAAGTGTTTTGGAGTCGAATGAATATGTTCGTGTTGTGGCAAAGGCTAACAAAATACCTCATGTAATACAGATGTGTGCAGAAAGGAAAGAATAATATGAATAACCAGGCAGCATTTTGGCGAAAATATTATGTATATTATTTCTCCCCATTGCTCCGTTTCAATATACTTTAAGTACAGGGTAAATTGAAACAAACGACAATGTGAAAAAAACACTTTTTTTCTGAAAACATCGTTTGTAAAACATTAAAACGTAATACATAATGGCATCCAACTAATTGCCATATCTGATGACATAACCATTAATATGCTAACATTAACGGTTATTCAATAAAAAGAAATTCAAACCACGTACTGTTCTAACATGTCCCGCCTCCCTAATAAATGATTTATACGAAATAATAAACATTAAAAAGCGCAGAAAAATACCAGAAAATATTGATTTTAAAGACATAATTTTTAAACTTTAAACATTTTATATGAAAATGTAATTTCCAATTCAAAAATAACAATTTTCGTTTTAAAAAGTGAATTTCTAAACAAGTTATCAAATTTTGTGTACATATTCTAGGAAAAGACAAGAATTTGTATTTATTTATAGCTTTATTATGATAAATAAATAGGTGCTAACTGTTATAAAAGGGGGAAATTATAAGCTAGACTCACTACATCGCCGGGAAAAAGGACAAATATGAAAGCTTTAATAGTTATTCTTCACGTTTTATTCAGTTTATTCTTTATGCTGAACGTTACATTTGCACTTCTACCAGATGGTAAGTCTCGTTTTCCTATTTTTTATAAATATTTATAATTTTAACATAACAATTGTTTGTGTGACTTATAAATATGATTAAATATATAAATTAATAAAATATAACTGAAAAATCGAATAATATGATGCGTGCTTTTTACTTTATTGTATCAATACCTTATACAGAGATATATAAGGGAATTACACTAATATTTACGTTGAAAATTCACAAAATAAAAGTTTTTTTCATAACAATATTAGGCCTATGTATTAGACAATGTAACAGTTATTCTGTATAAACAGATGTAGATAGGAATTTAACAAAGAGAAATCAAATTAAATTAAGGTAAAATTATTTTAAATGAGGTGTAATCAAATTACTTGAACGTAACCATAGTGGTTATATATTTATTTATGACGATTCAAAAGTCAGAAGATAACGATTTACAGTGCAGAAAATAATACGTGTTACTTTATTCTGAACAATTACGTTCCCGGCTCTGTTATACTGTGTATACCAGAGGGAAAGTATGGAGATCGGTTAAAAAATGACCCCGAGATTTTTACATTTTTGGCCTGATGGGTCCTCGAAACGTTTAGAAATGCAAAATATTTGATTGTTTTCTGTATGCATGGATGTGTGCCTAGCAGTGAGGGTGTGGGCGCACGATTTTGTTTAACCAATTTGAAGCGCAATAACTCTCGTGGCTCTGGTCGTAAATTTCTGAAATTTTTCAAGAAGATTTGTGTATTAGGGGAATTGATACCACTAAATTTTGGTAGTTAAAAGTCGATAGGGAAGGAAGATGAAGATTCGGATCTAATGGAGATTTTATACGTTATTAGCGTTTACAATTTTTTTTACAAAACACATCACTATCAAAAGAATTCAGTTTTTTGCCATTTTATATAACAATTAATTATATAAAAAGTTTTTAAATAAAATATCATAACAGATGGCATCACACGCAATTTCAATTGTTGTTGCAGGGAAAGTTAAGCAATTCGTTGCTGGATTATTTTGTATTCGTATTGTCAAGAATAATCTATGAGACTTATCCTTTCCAGACTCGTGCTAATTCATCCTACTGTTATTCAGGCTCACTCGTAATAGGAATAATTAGTGTCGGTCTGGTCATTCGATTAATCAAATAATAGAATCAATCGATCAGTCATCAATCACTCGGCTTTCAGATAAATAGATATATTTTTGAAATTATTTGATAAATTATTTATTAATCCTTCATCACAGTTACAGTTTATTGTTACAGTATGACCGCATCGATATCATATTATAATTTGAAATGTTCCTGTTGTTTAATGCTTTAATATTTTACTCGATAATTGATTTAAGTAAAATTTTATTGTCTAAAATCAATGATAATTTTAATAAATTTTAAAATATTTTATAGAGAATTATTACGAAGATTACGTATTGACTGATTCAAACGGATATCCGGAAGATATTAGCGAGGAATGCACTAAACCAGGATCAAAATTTCTTTTAAGCTTTTTCTACGATGGAAAATATGATGATTTATATACAAAAATTTTAATGTTTGGTAAATTATAATATTAAAAATTCTATAAAATTATTAAAAATATTAATTTAAGTGACTTAAGTCGAATATGTCACAAAATAACTGAATTTTTAAATATTTATCATAGGATTCTCACCAGATTTCCACATAACAGTTAACAAGAAAGAATACAATTACAATGCTGTACCAATTTCAGGTATATCACATAAGTTTTTAAATATAAATAGTTTCTATAGAAGGTCTTTCTCGGAAGAACTCCTGGGCAAATTCCTCAAGTATTTCATCAATTCAATTCAATCCAACTTGATATATTATAATTATAAAAATGCACTTATTTGTTTTAATCGTTTGTTGATATTTATAATTTACATCATAGAAATTAAATAATTTCATTATTTACAGATTTATTTACTTCGGTCGAATTCTTCCTACCGCTGAATGAAGTGCCAGATAATTCAATAGTAGATATGGAATTATTTCACGACACCAAATTTATAAAAATCTGTAGAATTGATTTGTTACGAGTTACAGGTTAAATTTTTAATTTTTATACCAGTAAAATTGAATTTTTTTATCAAATAATTAAATTATTTTATTATCATTTATCAAAATTACAATAAAATATTAAGTATATAGTTAGGATAATAAAAGCAATTTCTTTTTACTTATAGTTGACAACAATAATCCATCGGAGCGTGAACATGAAGGTGTGTAATTTCAAATCTTATGTTAAAATTTTTATTTATAAGTTGCCGTTTTACCTTTATAAAAATAAAATTTCCAAAATTATTTTGATTTACAGATTTTAATATACGTAATACAGCAATTAAAGATATAAGTCCGGATGAGATTGGAATATCTGATGATAACAACGATGATGATATTATGAAATCTGAAGAAAATATTGAACAGGTACTGATACAATATTCGGCAGGCAATTTTGAAAAAATTCTGATGTTGATGATATTGAAAAAAGGTTATTCGTTAATTTAAAGGTAGCTACGAAACAGCCTACTACAGAAAGGTATTTAATGCGTAGATCTACCAGGCGTCCAAGAACCACTACGAAAAGGCATACCAAACATACAAAACATACTACGAAACGGCCTACCAAACCTACAAAACATACTACGAAACGGCCTACCAAACCTACAAAACATACTACGAAAAGGCCTACCAAACCTACAAAACATACTACGAAACGGCCTACTACAAAAATAACTGACAAACCTACAACAAAAAATCTTGCCAAGTGTATAAAAAAATCTGGGAAAAAGTCTCATGCTGCTGCTGCTGCTGCTGCTACAGAAACATATGAAGAAAGTTCGGAACCATCTATTAATGAAGAAGATATAAACGAATAGTAAAACCAAATGTATCCTTCCTTGATGACATAGAACTCGACGATATGACAACATGGTCGAAAGTTTCAAACAAAAGTATGCCTGAAACTCGTAATGCAGAAACTTCGATTAAGAAGAGGAGTTACTAGTTTACCACGTTTTACTTTTTTAACTCAGATAGGATAATTTTATCAGTTTACACAGTTTTTGTACAATGCATTGCGTATGGATACGTTAATAAAACATGAAATTTATTACTACTCTTGAAAAAAACATTCTATGTGTCATTTTATGACGTATAAAGTTCTTTGTGTTTCAAAATTGTAATAACATTAAAATGAGTTAGCTATAAAACAATTTTTAGTTTCTTTTTATATGTTTATTTGTAGTTTTACACGGTATTTATAAGATATTAATTTGAAAGTGATATCTACAAGACATTTTCAATTATATATTGTTGATGGTGTCGCTCTTTATAGAAAATATACGGTAAAACTTGCATTAACGAACACTCCCAAATAGCAGATATCGCTGTTAACGGACGTTTTTACAATACCCAAATACTTCAAATAGAATTATATTTACCGCTAAATAGCAGAAAAACTTCTCGGTTCCTCTATTTGAAAGTTAAACTGTATATATTTTTGTATACATAAAAATTATATATTTATATATTTACACTATCAATAGATCAGAGATGGAAAGCCACAATCTATTTCAGAAGACAAAAACACGATTACGTAATGGTGTCATACACGACGGCAATTTCTAGTTCTGGTTCTTATGTGTAAGTAGAGAATTATTGATAATGAATTGCAGAAATATGCTTTATGTATAAAAAATATAAGCAAGCCTATATGTATTTCGATTCTTTTGGAGTCATACGGTGGAGTCATAACATGTAAAACATACAGTATTGAGGATAAGAGCCTACAATAAAAGGCGAAATGTTCAAATACTTTTTCCAATACTGCAAATCAGCGCCCACTTTTCAACATGATGGTGTAATTCTTTATATTCTTAACGTAACTGAGCATAATCTATTCTCTCCAACCTAACTTACACAACTATCAAATATAATTGTGTAAATTGACATTGACAAAAAACAACTAGAAAAATTCTATAACAGTTACAAATATTCTTCAACAAATTACTCCATTTCTTCATTGCATTTAAAATCGGTTATAAAGTATCAATCAAATCTAATATATAATCGAGACGGGTTGATGATAATAATAATAATAAGCGCAGAGCCCAAACGGTTAGGAGTTGAAAGTTGAAATTTGGTACACAGATAGGGTACGTCATGAAAACGCACACTAAGAAGGGATTTTTCGAAATTCCCCCCGGGGGAGAGAGAGACAGGATTAAAACTTCTATATACATTATGGATACGAGCCCAAACGGTTAGGAGTTGAAAGTTGAAATTTGGTACACAGATAGGGTACGTCATGAAAACGCACACTAAGAAGGGATTTTTCGAAATTCCCCCCGGGGGAGAGAGAGACAGGATTAAAACTTCTATATACATTATGGATACGAGCCCAAACGGTTAGGAGTTGAAAGTTGAAATTTGGTACACAGATAGGGTACGTCATGAAAACGCACACTAAGAAGGGATTTTTCGAAATTCCCCCCGGGGGAGAGAGAGACAGGATAAGATTTTGACAATGAAAGTGTTAAGTAACAATGGCAGTGTCAACAATGAAAGTGTTAAGTAATAATGGAAGTGCTAAGTAATAATGGAAGTGNATGCTGGCTTATATTGGGGAATGCTGGCATGCTGATTTAAATGAGGCTCTACATCCCTCTATACAGGGCACATTAAAAAAATGAATAAGTTATGTTATGTAAAAATGAATGAGTTTTTATTTTAAAACTGTGAAACTGTCAGCATTACATCAAATACCACAATTATATGTTTAAGTTCTTCATTTTGTCTTTTTTCTAACCATGTAAAATACTCTTGGAATTCTGAAAGTTGTTTCTTTTTTTGTGTGTGTATTTTATTGTTATTTGATTAAAAAATGCAAAAATAAACATATTAATTTTAAGAAACTCACTGTAAATTATCTCAGTTTGCACCCATTAACATAGGCTTTGTGTGAAATTTGAGAGGAAGGTGTAATTTTTAAGGACAGGGTAGGTGGTCAGTGTGGGCTACACTGACTAACTTCTACTACTACTACTAATGTCAATAAGTCGTTAATTGTTTTATTGTCTTGTAAATGAAAACACTTCCTGATTTTAAGTCAGTCAAATTACAATGTTGTTATTTTTATTGTACTTGAAACAACTAGTTTTGTTAGATTGATTAATTTTATATTTTGGTCACACTTTAACCGAGTAACCCTTGGGTTTCCAGCATGCTCTCTTCCTCTTTTATATGAAGCATGCCAGTCATTCTGCAAAAATATAATATTTGTTACCTCAAATGCACAGTGGAATGGTCTGTATTTGCTTTAAAGTCATATGATGATTAAGTTGCCAGAGCTCAAGTTATTGTGCAGCTACAGTAATTCATCTATAAATATTTACATATTGCTGATGACAAGATATATAGTGGTAGCTTAAAGATAGACAGAAGTATCAATGTTGCTTATTTGGATAAAATTTCAGTGTATACTTCAGCTGTTAGTTTATTATTATAAAATTATTATAATACTATTTTTTCAGTTGTGGAAGATATCCACAAGAGAAGAGAACCATTACCTAATATGGAAGCAGTATACCTTATATCACCTATAGATGCGGTAAGAATTTTATTATTATTTATATATACGATGTGATATATAAACACACCACATTATTAAAAATGTTCATGATCATAAAATTGCAAATCATTACATTATAGTTTTAATTCACTTATAGTTCATTGTAATATGTTTTGTAGATGGTAAAATATACTAAAACTAGAAATTCTCCCATCAAGCACAATGGAATATTTTTTATGAGAAAGTAGAGATCGAAGAATTGAGAATAGCTTCAAGTCAAGCTTGATGTTGTGATGCTGTTTGTGTGTGCGTGCGCACACACACACACACTTGATGGCCTTTTAAATTAGTAATATTTTCAGTACAGTACTGTTCAAAAATATATTTTGGAAATAATTATTAGCATATTATTATGTTTTCATTGCCTATTTTTAAAACAGTTATTATGGACTGTAATTTAATTAGTAATATTTTCAGTACAGTACTGTTCAAAAATATATTTTGGAAATAATTATTAGCATATTATTATGTTTTCATTGCATATTTTTAAAACAGTTATTACAACGAAAGAAAGCTCTTCACATAAAATAACAAATCTGTCGTTTCGAATTATGGGGTTTGTAAAGAATAATATTAATAATTGGACTACAATTTGAAACAATTGTAGATCTATAAATTCCCACTGTCGTCTCTGTCTGTGTGTTTGTCTATATGTCCTTCCTTAATCTCGAGAATGGTGTCAGATAGATAAAAGTCGAGACGAGATATGGAAAGCTTAGAGACAGGAGGCTCGATTAACTATATACATTTGGGCCGAAAGTTACGTTATTTTAATTCAAAAAATGTTCTTCTAAACGGAGTTAGAAAAACATCCTGCATGCCTTAAATGTCAACAGTGAAATATAATGTACTGTGATTAGACTCTACTAAACTGAAGTTTATTGTAAAGAAAAATTGCAGCCCGGTATTGTGACCGTATCGCAATAAATAATTGTTCGTAAATTATAATAATATTTTAAGAACACGGTATAATTTAATATTAATTATTGAAATAGATATCACTTTATGAGTTTATGATATAAATAAAAAATTTACGGTAAATATACTAATTGAAAAGAAACATGTGACTTCCTGTCCAGACCGAAAGTTCGTACATAGTTGATCGGGGTCTCTGGCCCGTAAACTTTCCACGTTTGGTCTCAATTTTCATTTAATCCATTCTCGAAAGTAAGAAAGGAAAGACGGATACGTGAACAGTGGGGATGTATAAGTCTACAATCTTTTCAAATTGCAACCGAATAATCTTATTAAAAGAATATATATAAAGGCCAAATATATAAAATAATATATATATGCAATCTATATATACTGTATACTGTACATATAATATGTTATTTATTTGGTCTTTTGTTAAATTATTTACATTCTTATACATAGTTAAGTTTTTAAATTGAAAACCTATACATTCCTACTGTCGTCCGTCTGTCAGTCTGTCTTTCCTAAATCTCGAGAATGGAGTTACATAGATAAACACGAAACCAGATATGGAAACATTAGGGCTGCAGACCTCGATTAACAGTATAAGAATATCCGAAGCAAACCGGAAGTCAAGTTATTTCAATTCAAAACTTTTCACCTGAAAGCAGTTAATAGATGACCGGCACGACACTATTGCTAATGGAAAAGTGTTATGTACAGGGACAAATCATTACTAATTTGAGATGGAAAGCACATATTTTAAATTAAATAAATTAAAAATATGATTAAAAATTGCAGCCTGCATTGTGACGAAGTCAATAAATAATTTATCGTTTATTTTGTCTTCAAATAAGATAAGAAAAGATCTCATAAACTTTAACTGTTAATAGTAAAATATTTACATTAAGTACGTTATTAATCTCATAAGAATGACATTAATAACTTTTAAATATTGTATTCTATTCCTAAACAAATTTGTATTTTTCTGATGGTGTCCATTTTGTCTAAAAGTAATAGCTATTAACATAATTTATAACAGGCAATTTTTTAATATTTTGTTATACTTTTTTTAATTGAGGATAATAATAAACATAATTTATTTTATTCTCAACAATTTTAAAATTCATCTTACCCTCAAAGGTCATCTTACCTCAAAGGTGAAAGGAGAACATAAGTTCTTTAATAGCCTACTTATTAACACATTTCTGTTCTTATCTTTTCCTCAAATTTATGAAATTATTATAAAAAAAAAACTACATATTTTAATATGTAAATATTGTGCCATCTGTTATGATATTTTATTTAAAACTTTTTGTATAATTTATATATATATATAAATGAATGTATGTGTGTGTGTGTGTGTGTATCCTTCATGCATTACCACACCGTTTATCCGATTGCCGTGAAGCTTTGAGAAGTTGTTTAATATACTCCCGTGAAGGTTTGTGGCGTAGTACGATTGTCATGAAGCTTTGGGAAGTTTTTTAATACACTCCCGCGAAGGTTTCTGGCATTTACCCTACGATAGATGGCGCGCGTTTACACGAGCATTCGAGCACAGTGTGTTCAATCGATTTCAAATTGTGAAGACCATTTCCCCCCTCCAAAAAATATCTCTATGTATTTATTTTTTA